CCCTACTGCAGCTGGGAATCCTGTTCCTGGTCTGTGGAAGCCCATAATACATGCTCCCACATAGATTATGAGCAATTAAGCTTTCTTCTCAATGATATAGATCACTGCAGATGCACAGTTAAGAAAGAGGGACATGGAAGACTTAAGTAACAACCCCAACCTCCACCTCACTCCACCCCCGCCCCCCCAAATAGTGACAGCCTAGACAGGAACTCATTGGGGAGAACTCTTAAAAACTGTGATAGGATGCTGGGGTATTGCCCTCCACAGTAGATGCAGAGATGGGAAAGGACTTCCACCAGGGATACAGGAAGTAAATGACTCAGTTCCATCTAGTGGACAGGCCACTGAAAGTTTGAACACACACCAGTGAATATACAGATAACACCAATTGGACTCTTTTTGTTTTGTGTTTGTTTGTTTATATTTTTGCTGGGGGGGGGAGTAACAAGGGTAGGGGAAAGGACACAGAAGGACTAGGAAATGAATATAATAGAGGTGTGTGATGTGAAATCCCCAAATAATCAATAAAAATATTATGTTGAGAAAACCAAGAAAATAGAAACACTGGAATAAAAAGGCCAGTGAATCAAAAGTAAAATTTGTTAGAAAGTATCACAAATCAACTCAAAGAAGCAAAAGTGAGAGTATCAAAAATGCAGGACAGCAGAATAGTATATTCAGACACCAACCTGGAAAGAATTAATATGAACTATGCATACAGTCAAAGCAATGAGCCTAAGAATCCATGGAGCAGAAGAAGGAGCTGAGATAAAGAATAAAAACACAGGAGAATCAATTCAATAAAATTATGACAGAAAATTTCTTCCAGAATCTAGAAACAGAAATTGGCATCTAAATACAAGAGGATTTAGAAATCCAAGTAGTCATAAATAGATCAGATATTCTCCACAACATACGACACTACAAGATATCAAAAATACACAGGAAAAAATATTAAAAACTAAGGAAAAGATATGAACTCAAGTACAAAGGTAAACACATCAGAGTAGCGTCAGAGCCTTCATCAGCAACCTTGGAAGTAAGGAAAATGTGGAGTAACAAAGTTCAAGCCCTGAAAGTAAATAATTGTGGACCATGGTTGCTATATCCAGGAGACCTTTCTTTTAATGTCACTAGCAGAATAAGGACATTCAAGACAAGCATAAACTAAGGAAATTTGTATTTATACATAATAGCACACATTTCTAAATTATACCATCTTGCACTACTGGAAAATATTTCTATGATTTTTCATTCCCTTAAAATAATGAAATGCAAACATTTTTTTCATGACCTGAGTCTCTGCATATCCTCATTATTTTATTTACTGAAGTTCCTGGGATCTCTGCATTTGTTGTTTATGTCTGGCAGCCTTTTCTCCCCTGCTTCCATCGATAGGTTCTTTGTCAAGCTCACTCAGATATCACTTGCTCTGTTTGCTTTTTCTCACTAGACTGCTTACACTGGCACTAAAGCTACCTTCTGGTTTGTTTCTGCCACACTGCGTTCATCATGCTTTGGGTTTTTGGTAGAGGAATTTTAATTCAGCAATATGGCTTTTCTGGCAAGGGATCATATCCAAAGACGTAGGACTGTGTAATTTGGCTGGAATACAGACACGACCTTATAACACAACTTTAATCCCTCTGGGTGGAATACACACCCTAATCCCTCTGGCTGGAATACAAACATGACAAACCTTAATCCCTCTGACTAGAATTTAGTACACACCTTTAACACCAAACAATGGCATCTAATTGAGAGGCAAACAAAGTGATGAATTAGAGAAGGATTTGACAGAATGAGTCAGAGATAGGATACACCCAATTGTCACAAGAACAGACAAGAAAGAGAGGCAAAGACCAGCTCAGACAGAGAGAGTAGGAGAGTTTGTGGAGACAGTATAGTATGGTTTGGTAGCACAGTACAGTTCGGTGAGTTTGGTGCAATTTAGTTGAGTGCAGTTCAGTTCATAGAGTTCAAAGGCAGTTTTTCCAAGCAGAGCAATTCAGTGAGAAGTGAGAGAAGACAGTTCGAATCGATCATCTTAGAGAGGAGTTTTGAACCAGAATAGCTGAGTTGGACCAGCCAGCCAGAATTCAGAAAGAACTAGCAATGGTGAGCTTAATCAGCAGTAAGTCGAAGAAGCAAAAAACATTCTAGGCCTAGATTAGCAGACAGAGGCTGGAAGCTGAAGCCTTCAAGGTCCAGATTTGCAGAAGATTAGATTGTATGGCGGTTTGAAGCTTCCAGGCCTAGGCCTAGGGGTAGTTAGATAGAAATGGTCTGGGCTCAGCCCAAGCCAAGCATTTGTAAAGCTTGGGTACAGCTCTCAACTCTTCCCCTCATATGAGAAGATAAAAACTACATTTACATTTATTATTTTTAATATTTATTTTATGTTTATTTATGTACATATCTGTGTGTATATACTCAGGTGCACTGGCTAAATTTATGTCAACTTAACACAAAATATAGTCATTTGGAAGGAGGGAGCTCAGTTAAGAAAATGCCTCTATAAGATCTGGCTATGCCAGCCTGTAGAGCATTTTCATAATTATTAATTTGTGGGGGAGGGCCAACACATTATGGATGGGGCATTCCCTGGGCTAATGGTTCTGGGTTCTATAAGCAGGTTGGGCAAAGTATGAAGAGCAAGGCAGTAAGCAGCACCCCTCCATGGCCTCTGCATCAGCTCTTGCCTACAGATTCCTGCCCTATTGGAGTTCCTATCCTGACTTCTTTAAGTGAAGGACTACACTGTGGAAGTGGAAGTTCAGTAAATCCTCCCAACTTGCTTTTTGGTTATGACGTTTTATCGCAGCAATAGAAGCCCTTACTAAGACAACATGCATGTGTGGATGAATCCCCACAGAGGCCAGAAGAGGGCGTACGATCCCCTGGGGCTGGAGTTAAAGGAAGCTGTGAGCTGCCCTAAATAGATGTTGCAACTGAATTCCATTCCGCAGAAAGAGGCGCAAGTCTAAACCACTGAGCCATCTCTTCAGCATTGCAAGGTCTGTGTTTATAAATTTGGCTTATTCTTTACTCTTTTTTATTTTATTTTTTTACTGAAATCTAAAATGTATGAAAAATATTTTATTCATTAGGTTATCTTCAGTATTTAATGTAAATTGAAAAAAGTTATTTTCTACCTTTGGCTATAAAATTATGTGCATATTTTGAATAGTCATGTTATTTTTGTTTCTGTAGTTAAAAAAAAGGGAAGGAGAGGAAAAAAGATGGAAAGAAATAACTAGGTGGTAATGATGTATGCCTTTAATCTAAGAGCCCTTTAATCTAAGAGGCAGGAAGCAGGAGGCAGAGGCAGACAGAGCTCTGTGAGTTCCAGTACAGCCACGGCTGTTACACAGAGAAATCCTGTCTCAAAAAAAAAAGCATTTATTTATAAAATGAAGAACAGTTGGGTGTGACATTACATATTTATATTTTCAATTTTGTATTCTTTCTAATTAATAAATTTCATTGTTTGACCATTTCAAATATATATAAAATGAATTATGGTTACTCTCCCTCACTGTAATTTATTTTCTTCCCACCCTGGCTAGCATTCATTCTTCCTTACAAATCCCTTTCTCATATTTACAGGGTTTTGTTTTGTTTAGTGACCCACAGGACTATCTGTGTGACCCTGAGTTTAGAATTAATCAATCATCAGAGCCTGGTGGGGTAATCTGAAGTAGCAAATTATAATTTAATAAGTTATTAATAATCAGGTAGGGGACAACATGTTGTATTTCATTCAGTGTAATCATTAAATGAAAGTGCACCATTGCTTACTTTAAAATACACATTTCAGGATGGACAGAATCCTTGAAAATTAGATGAGTTGCTATGAAATGAACTACTCAATATTTACTTGAGGCTCATGCTCCCTGTTGGATTTGAATTCACTTTTGAGTTTCTGGCATCTTCAGAGACATCCTCAGTCAAACTTTATAAAAGATGCAATAACAATAATTGTAAGACGAATTCTTTTTTCAAGAGGTAAGATTTGAGCCTTTGTAAATGAATCTTGTTCATGTACATTGACCACTGACGAGAACTATCCCTTCAAATAGTGTCTACATCTAAAAGCTATCTTTTAGCAATAGTGTAGAGATATCAAGCAGCTCGTTAGACAATGACTTCAGCTGTGGTAAATTAAATTTTCATTGCAGAGTTCATACGCACAAAGCAGCGCGACCAGTTTACTACCTAAGACCAGAAACCACATGGTCTCTATGGAAATGTAGCACTCTGCCAAAGACTGAAATAGTGAGTTTTTAAAACACTGGGAATTTACCTTTAGGGAGTTTCTTAGAGCAACTTACTTCGTTTATTGATTATATAGATGCTCTAACATCCCAGACACCAGACACTTTGGGCAAAGAAAAGGAAATAAAGCCAAACTGTGTTGGAGGAGTGGGAGAGGGGATTGGCAGGGATGAGATTCTACCTGGCCTCTAGGTGAGTGAGCCTGAGTATGCTTCTTAACATTTTTAAAAGATTTGTTTCTATTTTATGTGTATGTGTGAGTGCCTGTGTGCATGGATGTGCAACTCTGTGAGTGCTTGGTGCCCAATGAGGTGAAAAGGTGTACCTGGAACCCCTAGAACTGGAGTTAAAGGCAGTGGAAAGGTCATCCAATGTGGGTACTAAAACAAACAAGGTCCTCTGCACAAACAGCAGTAGTCTTAACCACTGAGCCATCCCTCCAGCACCACTTCTTACCTTTATAGACTAAATGTTTTATCATCTGCATACAATGTTAAAATTATATTTAATTCCACTATACTTCAATTAAAACATTATGGTTATTAAAGATTCAATACATATGAATATACTAAGCATTCAATGTAATACCTCAATTATATGTTTTGATGGCATTTTTGTAATGACAACTGTCTATGTGTTAATGAAAATGCAGCCATATATATATCTCCTCCTGTTTTGTCCCCACCACAACCTTGACCTGGCAGCAGCTACACTGCCCCATGGCTTTCCAGGAGGATGAGAACCACACTGCAGTGACAGAGTTCATTTTACTGGGATTAACTGATGACTCAGTTCTTAGACTTGTCCTCTTCACCATCATCCTGTGCATCTACCTGGTGACCATGTCTGGAAACCTCACCACCATCCTTCTCATCAGAGTCTCTTCCCAGCTCCATCACCCCATGTACTTTTTTTTCAGCCACTTGGCCTCTACTGACATAGGCATTTCATCTTCTGTCATACCCAATATGCTTGTCAACTTCCTGGTGAAAGGAAGCACAATCTCCTACCTTGGGTGTACCATCCAGCTTGGCTCAGGTGCTTTTTTATGGAACAGTTGAATGCTTCCTTCTGGCTACTGTGGCAATTTGCAACCCACTGCTTTATTCAACCAAAATGTCCACACAGGTCTGTGTGCAGTTGCTTATAGGATCTTATACTGGTGGCCTTCTTAATGCTTCCTCCTTTATTCTGTCCTTCTTTTCTCTTCTCTTCTGTGGACCAAATAGAGTCAATCACTTTTCCTGTGATTTGGCTTCTTTCTAGAGATCTCCTGTTCTGGTGGAAATGTTCCCATAGTTCCTGCTTCATTTTGTTCTGCCTTTGTCATTATAGTCACAGTGTTTGTCATTGCTGTCTCCTACACCTACATCCTCATCACCATCCTGAAGATGCGCTCCACTGAGGGCTGCCACAAGGCCTTCTCCACCTGCACCTCCCACCTCACTGCGGTCACTCTGTTCTATGGAACTGTCACATTCATTTATGTGATGCCCAAGTCCAGCTACTCCACGGACCAGAACAAGGTGGTGTCTGTGTTCTACATGGTGGTGATCCCCATGTTGAACCCACTCATCTACAGCCTCAGGAACAATGAGATTAAGGGTGCTCTGAAGAGACAGATTGGTAGGAAAATATTCTCTTAAGTGATATCTGTTATATTGTAGGATTTGATATGACAATAATATCCTACAGACACAATAATGAAAAGAAGCTAAATGCCTGTGGCTGAAATGTATGTTCTGATATATAATTAGCCATGTGGAAGTTTTTTAGTAACTATAGAGGATAGATGTTCAGATATTAAGTAATAAATCATATTTTCATAGCAAGTTACATTTAATAAATTTAAGTAAGCTTATAATTAATAAAAAATATTTTTATAACAAGTAATTTCCTGAAAATTATTTTCATTTGCAGTTTTTGTTTTCAAAAGTAGTTACCTGCTATAAATTACAATTATAGAACATGTAAATGATTAGGGGTGTTGTATTTCAACAGTCACTCATCCTGCAAAATGCATAGTAAGAATAGTCATTTCTGAGGATACATTTTAAAAGAAAATAACAAATAAAATTCCTGAAGTTGTTTTCAGATTTATTTTGTGATTGTTTTGCCTGAATCCTGGAGGTTTGTTTTGTTGTTTTGCTATTTTGTTGGTTTGGTTTGGATTGGGTTTTGGGTTTTTGGAATTTTTTTTTCCCATGGAGCACTATTGACTACTGGGAATAGGTTTTGCAAACTCATAACATTCTGGTCTGGGTCCCTGGTCTCTGAATTGGGGAAAGAAGCAGGCTTCTCATGAAAGAAAGGGATGAGAACTCCTGATTAACCTGCTCTCTTAAAAATCTTTCTTTTTCTTTTGTGGTGCTAGGAATGAAGCCCAGTGTCTGGTTCTTGGTAACTAAGATTTATGGCACTGAGTCATACCCCAGCTCCTCCTGAAAGTCTAAATTTACCTGGGTTCACTGATGAACCACTACTTTATTTATCACTCTAGTTCCTCTCTCTTCCAGCTTGATCTTCTCTAGTAAGGGATTCTGTGATTCAATCCTTTTATGGATTCAGAAACACGAGAAAAAATTATTTCTCTTCCTTTTCTGCACTCCTTCATTTCATTATAAAATTGTGTGTATTTGAAGGCCACAATTTACTTACTTTTCTCTGTCTTCGTTGTCAATGTGCCTGCTCCAGGCTCACCTCTCTCACAGTCAGCTTATCATAAACAGTTCCAGTGGGATGGTTAACTTTACCTATCAGCTTGATAAGGATATGCTACCCAGGTGCTTGATCAGACACTAGTCCAAATGTACCTCTGATGCTATTTTTAAGACATATTTGACATTTAGACTGACAGTCATCAAAAGCAAATTTTAATATAGATGGTCCTTGTCTACTCAGTTAAAGGTCCTAAGAGAGGAGCCTAAGGTCCTCTGAAGAGGAAAGGTCTTGGAACTCTAGACCTCAAGACTGCAATATCAACTCTTAACAGTATTTTCAGGCTGTTTGCCTGCTTTGCAGACTTTGTACTTGCATGAGACAATTTCTTAATCTCTCTCTTTTTTTATACATACACACATGTAAATATGTATATAATTTAGAAAAAATATATATAAAACACCCTTATATGTATAATTAAAATGAAATAATGCATATAAAATTTGTAATAAATATTTAAATATTGTAATAAATGTATGAACACATAGTAAATATATATGTGTGTGTAAATGTAGATATCAATGTATTTGAGTATATATACATAATACATATACTGAATAGATATACATATATAAATAAATATATAAAAATAAATATAAGTATATATATATATATATTTACATATGTATTGCTGTTCTGGCAGAAGCTTAATGAATAATATCCTTAATGAGTTTTCCTATCTCTCCATCTTCTAAATCATGCTACATATAACTTCCATAGCCATATATCCAAATAAAGTATTTTCTTCAAGAAGTTCTAGCCTCTAACTAGAAAATGGCCCATGAGGTTGTAGCCCGTGATAGCTCAGTAACCAATGTGTTTCCCATAGTGAGGGGAATAGGGACTATTTCTGACAGCAACTCAATGGCAGGCTCTTTGACCTCCCTTCCCCCCAAGGGAAGAGCAGTACTGCTAGGCCACAGAGGAGGACTTTGCAGCCAGTCTTGAAGATACCTGATAAAACAGGATCAGATGAAAGGGGAGGAGGACCTCCCCAATCAGTGGACTTGGAAAGGGGCATGGAGGAGATGAGGGAAGAAGGGTGGTATTGGGAGGAAATGAGGGAGTGGGATACAGCTGGGATACAAAATTAATAAAATGTAACTAATAATAAAAATTAAAAAAGAAAATGGCCCATGAAACTTGGGGATAATAAAGTTTTAAGGCAGTGGAATGGAGAAGAACAAACTGAAAAGAAGAATATTGGGGCTCAAATGATACAGTGAAGAGAGGAAGACAAGAGATGTAGGAGAACAAAAACAATATGAAATATGTATGAAGACCTGTTACCTTATTAATAAGATTTTAAAAAATTAAAAATAAGATTTTTGAAGGCCTTAGATTTGGCCTCTGTCTTCATTTTCTCTCTCTCTCTCTCTCTCTCTCTCTCTCTCTCTCTCTCTCTCTCATGGTATTTCCTTTCCTTTCAAAATATTGAACATGCTCACATTCTGCTGCCTCAAGACTCTCTCACACAGCCTCTGCTGATAATCCCCTCTTCCCTTCACCGGTGTAGCATCTACATTATGTTGCAGATACCAGTCCATACTTTAAGCCACTTAGAAAGAGTCTTACTGAATCTCAGTGTCTAAGATCACCACTGTACCCCACAGAACACTGTGTATCTGTGTTTTAGTCCACTAAGAAGTTAGGGTTTTGTTTTCACCAATCAATACTGGAAGCTTCTTGTAAATAGCCACAGTGCTGCCCTTTTTTTCCCAATACTCTTTTTGGAGGCAAGACAAATTTTAGGACAAAGATTTTATGGGTGAGTTGGTGTCCCCCTCCCTCCATTGAAAGTCCCACCTGGCTATAGGAGGTGTTGCCTTTAGGCTCCTTAACCCCTACTGCTAGGAGTCTCAGCTAGGGTCACCCTCATAGACTATCAGGAATCCCCCCATCCTAGAATGCTCACCCACCAATTTTCTCTCCCACCCAATTTTCTCCTTCTATATACTTCAGATGTCTATTTCCTCTTCTGAGTGATATTCAACCTTTGGGCCCTCCTTGGCTTCTTTGGGTCTATGGATTTTAGCATAGTTATCCTGTACTTTATGGCTAATATATATCATATATCATGAGCACATACCATGGCGTGTTTTTCTGGGTCTGGGTTTTCTCACTCAGGATGATCTTTTCTAGTTTCATTTATTTGCTTGCAAACTGCATGGTATCTTTGTTTTTAATAGTTGAGTGATATTCTGTTGTGTAAATGTACCACATTTTCTCTATCCATTCTTCGGTTGAGGGACATCTAAGTTGTTTTCAGTTCTGGCTACTACAAATAAAGCTGCTATGAACATAGTTGAGCAAATGTCCTTGTGGCATGGTGGACCATCTTTTAGGTATATGCCCAGGAATGGGTCTTGAGGTAGATCTATTTTCAATTTTCGGAGAAACCTCCAGATTGATTTCCACTGTGGTTATACAAGTTTACACTCCCTCCAGCAATGGAAGAGTGTTCCCCTTGCTCCACATCCTCACCAGCATGTGCTGTCACTTGAGTTTTTTTTATCTTAGCCATTCTGATGGATGTAAGATAGAATCTCAGGGTGTTTTGATTTGCATTTCTCTGATGACTAAGAACATTGAAATTTCTTTAAGTGTTTCTCTGCCATTTGAGATTCCTCCGTTGAATATTTTCTGCTTAGCTCTGTACCTCAATTTTTAATTGGATTATTTGGTTTTTTTGGTGTTTAATTTCTTGAGTTCTTTTTGTCTTTTGGATATTAGCCTTCTGTCAGATGTAAAATAGGTAATGATCTTTACCCATTCTATAGGCTGTCATTTTGTTCTATTGACAGTGTACTTTGTCTTGCAGAAGTTTTCAGTTTTCTTAAGTTCCACTTATTAATTGTTCATCTTTGTGCCTGAGCTGCTGGTGTTCTGTTCAGAAAGTTGTCTTCTGTACCAATGAGTTCAAGACTATTCCTCACTTTCCCTTCTATTAGACTTAGTGCTTTATGTTGAGGTCTTTAATTCACTTGGACTTGAGTCTTGTGCATGGTAATAAATATGGGTCTATTTGCATTCTTGTATATGTTGACATTTATTTAGAACAGCACCATTTTTGAAGATACTTTATTTTTCCATTGTACAGTTTTGGCTTCTTTGTAAAAAATCAGATGTCCATAGGTATGTGGGTTTATTTATGAGTCTTTCATTAGATTACATTGATCAACCTGGCAGTTTTTATGCCAATACCATGCATGGGTTTGTTTTTTTTTTCACTATTGCTTTGTAATACAGCTTGAAATCAGAAATGGTGAAACCTCCCGAAGGGCTTTTATTTTCCAGAATTGTTTTAGCTATCCTGGCTTTTAAATTTTTCTATATGAAGTTAAGGAGCAGTCTTTTGAGGTGTGTAAGGAACTGTGTTGGAATTTTGATGCTATTGCATTGAATCTGGAAATTGCTTTTGGTAAAGTGGCCATTTTTCCTATATTAATCCTACCAATCTATGAACATGGGAGATCTTTCCATCTTCTAATATCTTTTTTAAATTCTTTCTTATCATAAAGTCTTTCACTTGCTTGGTTAGAGTTACACCAAGATATTTTATATTATTTATTGCTGTAGTGTTGTTTGCCTAATTTCTTTACCAGCCTGTTTATCACTTGTACTAAGGAGGGCTATGCCTTTTTTAATTAATTATTTTTTCTTTATTAATTACACTTGTGGTTCTCTCTCTCCTCCCATCCCAATCCCTCCCTTCCTTCACCCTCTGCATGCATGCCCCTCCCCAAGTCCACTGATAGGGGAGGACTTCTTTTCCTTCCTTCTGATCCTAGTCAATTAGGTCTCATTAGGAGTGGCTGAGTTGTCTTCTGTGGCCTGGTAATGCTGCTTCCCCCTCAGGGGGAGATAATTAAAGAGCAGGGCAATCAGTTCATGTCAGAGACAGTCCCTGTCCTATTACAATGGAACC